AAAAAAAAAAAAAAAAAAACACGAACGGAGCGCCCATTTATGACGTATTTCGCCGTGTAGTTTATTTTTTTTATTTTCCCCCGAATAATATAATCATATTTTACGACTTATTAAAAAAAAAAAAAATCACTGACACCGAAACGACACCCGGCGACACGGCGACACGGCGGCGGCGGCGGCGGCGGCACGCGGAATAGTCGGTAATTTTTTTTTTTTTCAGTTTTACTCCCATTTTCTCCACCCGGTCACCGCCCCCACCCACCGAATTCTCCGTCAGTCGTAAAACGCGCGCGCCTTTTGACAACGCGCTGCGCCTTTCACCGCATGTGTCGTACACGTCGTCGTCGGCGGCGACACACAGGGTTTACGGTTGTTAAATTTTTTTATTAGCTACGCAGACACTCCCGAAATTTTATATTTTCGGCCGCCCCTTGTTCCGCGGCCGCCGCCTCCCGTCAGTAATAATATAATAATATAATATTGTACTGCGCACGCCGCTAAATTACGGCGTTTCGCTAAATGTCTTTTTCCCGTACACAACGAGAAGGTCCTCTATCTTGTTTGAACAGTTTTCTCGTGTTTCCCTTTATGAAACGTGTACGCGCTGCGCAATAACAATTCCGCAACGGTAACACGACGAACACGTGCGCGGTTTATGTGGAATTATTTTTATTGAGTTTGGACGAGACGCGCGCAGCTCGTCATAATAATCCTACCACACCGTGGTCCACGCCGGATATTACGCGATAATAATTATAATTATAATAATAATTAGAGCAATAAAAATAATAATAAAAAGAAGAAATGCCAGTTTTAACCGGGGAGTAAAAACGTTTTCGATAACGCGTGTTACGCGGGAAAAATCGGATCGTACGCGTTTTTACTCCAGAGTAAACATAAACGAAAACTTTCAACTGACAAACATTATTGATATTAATCACGTTTTCGGGAGTCTTTACATATTTATAGACGTACGATTTGCATTTTATTTAGCTATTAGGTACGCGTGTTATTATAAAATATAAAATACATTAATGCGGGTAAGTGATATTGACTCGGGAGTCCGAGTTCTCCTCCGTCATACATTGCGAATTTAAATCGTCAAACAACAATATACCAATTTGTATAACGCAACGTAGTTGTAAGCGCTTTAAAATATGTAATAATGTATGCATGTCGTAATAAAACTGAATTTAATTGGCCTTTGTAAAAAATTACAAGTTAGGTACGACCAAAAGAAAATAAAAATAATAAAATAATTTACAAAACGCCCGAAAATCGCACTACAAAATACCAAGTCGATTGGCTTGATTTAACTAACGTACTTGTACGAGACGGGTACTAAAACACAACAAAACCGAACAAACGCGGAAAGAATGAAAAGTTTCTGAAAACAAAAAAAACGACATTTTCCTGCACGTTTGTAGTGACTAGTGATGACTTGACGTGGCGTAAATGCGGATAATCCGAAAACCCGAAAAATCCGGATTTCGGACTTTAAAATACGAGAATTCCAAAAACGGATTCCGAAAATCGAACACCGGCCAATTCGGATTTTTCCCGCCGCCAGTTCAAACCCCGGTGTCCGTTACCTAGTCGATACCAATTAATCTTCTCATACAGAAATGAAATTTGTTTAGTCCATTTAAATGCCGAAACAGTTGTCCGCGGGAAATAAACGGAAGGCGAAAACGGGTTATTTAGCCGCTGCGAGTGGTCCGAGCCAACGTAATTATATACCCATTTTACATACCTTGGCAACGGAAACATTGTAATTTTTTTTTTTATTTTTTATTTTTCTTGCATTGTGACCCAGTGACGAAGGAAATTAATGCGCATGGCGCGTGATAATTTATTAATAATGATTGCGAAATAAACGCGCATTACAATAATTATCGTACATCGTTGGCCGTGCGATAACGATACCGCGCATCAGGCGTATCGTTGTTAATCGTTGTAACGTCGTCTTTCGTGGTGATTTTTTTTTTCCTATCCGATTGAAAAGCCGTAGGAAGTAGGCGTCGCGTTACGCCGTTCGCGAACGACAGCGCGGTGTCGTCGCGGTACGGGGAGGGGGAAAATAATCTCGTTGTAAATTCAATGGCGGACGGCGCCAAAACGCGCGGAGCGGCCAGCCGTCGCCGAAAACTGCTGAACCGACCGGGCCGACCGGCGACCGGCACGGAGAAAACGCGACACCCGCAATAATTGCGTTCCGTCGTCGGCGCGCGCGCCCGGCGTATTGTGATACGGATGGATTTGTGGGGGCAAATCCGCTGGTCTCTGCGCGATATTCAGCGACGCCGCGCCGCCCGAACGCGCGGACGTGGGACTCGCGGCGCGGCCCGTAGGCAAACGGCGCGGGGGTCGTTTTGCGTTACACCGAACGTCGTCGGGGTTCCAGCGTTTCGAAACACGGCAAATCGACAAAATCTCGCGCCTACCGCAATAATGATATAGCGGTTGTTATTTTATTTTTTCTTTATTTTTTTTTTCTTCCTTCTCCGTATTATTACGTCGAAACAATTGTGCTGACGACTGCGACGCCGCCGCGGTCCGTTTCGAAACCGACGGCATCGAAAATAAACAAACGAAAATGATTGTTGTATAGTGTGTCAGCGCCGCCGTCACGCCGAATGTGTCATGACGGGAAAAAAAAAAAATCATAACGATAATAATAATTTTTCGAAAAAACTACCGATACTATATTATGCATTGCACACACCGTTAGTATCCAAATATTTGTAGTTGTTTTAACGACAATGGCTGTTATATAAATAATATTATTTTTCCGTTACACACGGTGTTTCACTTAAACGGTAACACGAGACATTTCGGCAGGACGGACTAAGATTGAAATCGAGGGTTTTTTTTTTAATATTTTTTTCTGTTCAGAAAGATCGGGTGGTTCCGATTTATACATTTTGTGCCTATTTTCAAAATATAATAATCCTTGCGGTGCGCGCATGCGCAATTAAAACATACGTTTACTTAAAATAAAGCGCCTATTTTTAATACCAGATTCGAATGTGCTGATATAGCAACTTTGATTGATACAATTTTTTTCCGTCTCAAACGTTGCCCTAGATATAGCTGTCCGAAATTTAATTATTTACGACTTACGAATGTAAGATAATAAAATTTAGTAAAACTATTAATTTGAGGCATCGTATCGGAAATTCTCGAACGTATATGTTATTTCCGGAAATCGGAAATACAACAGTCTCTACCTCTTACTTTTGTAGTTTATGACCGATTTTTACTTATTTTAAAATGCTTTATTTTACGTTTTAAAACTTTACAACTACCTAGTGCAGGAGTTAACACTATGCCAATGTAGGAGATTACCTACTTTTGTAAGAGCTTACCACCTCCCCCCCCAATATGATTATTTTTCGCATAATTCGGTCCAAAAAAATATTCCTTGGATAACTCTTAATAGATTTCAAACCATAATATTGAAATAGGTAAGTAAAAACATATTTGATGCCCGATTCGGGACTTAGATTTAGCACTGCCTAAGATCCGACCGGTTGCGACTCCTCGGCCTGGACAACCGCCGGGTATACTTCTTGTTGATGTCCATGTACGCGTCCCGTTTGATCTCGAACAGGCGCTCGAAACGACTTCTGTTGAACGAGTGTTTGCCCACCACGTACACCCGTCTGTCCGTCTCCAATTGGTATGTTACCTAAACAATATAATACGTGTGTTACACCCCAGAGGCGAATTTGTTGATTAATCAAGAAATGTTGGGCAATTTTTTGTCCGTTCCGCGAAACGGCCGGACGAATAACTGTCCGATTCATAGACTCATTTCACGAATTGAAAAAAACTACAGTATACATTGTGCCTATTTAATACGCAAATATTAATTATAATATTGTGAAAACGATATTTTTAATAAGTTATGAATTATTATAAATTTGTTATTATTATTATTATTAGATTTTAATGGTTCATGTATTTTGAATACAAATAAAAAAAAAACTCCGTTACTAGAGTTGTAAATGCCCTAGTCAACTTAGATTTGTTACAATATTTTTTCATTCTATTTTAAATTTATCTATATTAGTATCTGAATCAGTAGTCGATACAAGGGGAGGATGGGGTTCCCGATGGAGCGATCAGAAGAAACAACACAGAAGAATTATTCGATTTTTTTATTTTTCTGGCCGACTTATGGTTTTACCATAAGTCTTAACTTACGACTTTGGTTTTATATATAGGTATATTATGCATATTTTGTATATTTTTCCCCACTACTTTTAGACATTTTTAGCGTCTCCTTTTGAACCAAATGTGTTATTGTGAAGGAGCGTGGTTTTTTAGCTTCATAAATCCTTACAGACTCCCCCCGATAAAGTCAGGGAGATTACGTTTACTATATGTATAGTGTATCAAGGATGTTAAGTATTAAAGATGTGCCTTTTGGGAATTTTAACCTTCAACTTTTATCCCAACCATTTGAATGCTGAAGCAGAAAATAATGTCTTAACATCTACAGATTCAACAAAAAAGTATAAATGTAGCGAGGTTAAAATATATGTACATATAATTTTTGTCAAGGATGTACCTTTAAAAGGGTTTAATTTTCAATTTCCGATAAGAATAAGAAGTGCCTAAATATTTTTTCAATTTATGTAAAAAAATGTTTCGATTCAATTATAATTAAAAATAGCTGATAGTAGGGACGGGTGCGGCCACTGTCGTAAATGGATAGTAGGGAAAGTAGGATACATAAAGTTATTTAATTTATACCTACAACCAATTATTAACCGTAGCTATTGAAAAACGATTCGGAATGAAGTTCGTTTATAATTGTTTCGAAAGGCCGTAATATTTGCGATTTTCGTCAAAATTTGATTTTAAAACGAATAAAAAATAATAATTCTATGCTTCTCTCAACTTTTTTTTTTTGACCATAAAGTACGATTTATAATAAATCCCCTGTCAAATTTTCAAACATTTCTGTTTAGTTTAATAACAATTTTAACAATGTTGTCGGTCAACAATATTTTATATTTGTATCAGTAGTTTACGAATAAATAATATTACTATCAAAATATATATGATATTATTATGATACTACTTCACCGACTTACGTAAATAGGAACTGACAATAAAGGCGATACGTCTATGGTGAAATATGCACTGACTGTTACTTGCGGAATCGGATGTTCTTTGGTAGGTACCGAAAACTCCACCTGTAAAACATCATAACATTATTATTAGGTATTGTTATTTTGAATATTTTTGTTAATAATATTACTATACATGTAATTATTTAACAATAATTGATAAGATTTTGTCGCCGAAAATAAATACTATTGCTCTGGAGTGTGTATTTAATATTCGAGTGTATGCAGCATACCTATCTATAGGTAGTTACACTGTGCGGCTAGGTATTTATTTTATCATACCGATGATTACATTATGGACTTCCGTGGATCTCTGAATATCTAATTTTTCATCGAGAAAAATCGCGAATCATATTTTTGTTTCTCTACATCTATATTAGTTAATTATAAAATAAAAATCAATCATAAACAATTGTTTCTTTTAAATCACTGCAGGATATATTGTAAAAAACAGGTAGGTACGGAACATTTTTTTACCGGGTGATCTATTGAAGTGTGTAAACTCATTATCTCGGAAAGTATTAACCTTTTCTGGAATCTGTTTTCCAGAAGATTTAAGAAATAAGCCATCTACAATTTTATATTTATGTTATTTTTTGTCACCCTTATTCCCGGGGGTAAAACCACTGTCTACTTTTGATTTTCAAAAATCAAAAATTTTAACACTAAAATTTATTTTAACTAATACTCCATCTACTTATGGAATTTTTAATATAGGTGGCCATTTGAAAATCAAACGTAAATAGTGGTTTTACTCTCGAAAATAAGGATGAAAAAAGATTACATAAATACAAAATTGTAGAGCTGCTAGTTTCTTAAATCTTCTTGGAAACAAATTCCGATAAAAGTTAATACTTTCCAAGATAATGAAAGTATCCACTTAAATGAATCACTTGGTTATTATGATATGCAAAAATGGACTTAAAAGAGTTATTTTCGGTTAGTTTCGACATGAACTCGCAAAGCGATCGAATTTAGGTTTTCGAATACTCCAAGACCAAGCAATTTTAAATTGATAACATTATTAACATTATTAACTAACAACGCGATAAAATACGTCACGGTAAATTTGAACCAGAATAAACCTGGTGCCGAAACGGATCCCACAGTGCTAATCATATGCTTACGGGTCTAGGTGTCTGAATTGTATTATTGTTTTCCGGATGAGAACTGTAGCGTCTATGTCCAATTTTATAATGCAACACCTATTGTGTTATTGTTGCAAAATTGATTTAATAAAAGTAAAATTTGAAAATATATATTGCGCATTATAGCGTAGGTCAGTAGCATAATAGGCATAAATATAATATACTTAAACAGCACAAAATGTACTAACCAAATCGAATATTAATATACTTATACAAATAGTTGATACAGTGTATTGTGAAATATATTTTTTCGAAACATAGTAACATTGAAATTCAATTAGAAAATAACTATACAATTAAAAAATTAAATTTTTTAGTATCAGTAATAACTAATAATATGTTATGTTTACTATTTAGACAATAATAAAAACACTATAACATTAATTATTAACAACTTAAATCAATAAATACTTAAGAATAAATAATAGATTTCAACACCGGTTTTTTTTTTTTTTTTTTTTTATAATAATAATATATTTATTTGGCCATAAAAACAGTTAGTACATGTTTAAAATAGCAATAATGTCTAACAATAACACATAATTACTAAAATAAATAAAATTTAACTATCCAAAGATTTTGGCCCAATTCACCACTGAGGTGAACCTCGTATTGGTAAAATTTGAGTCTTATCGATTAATTAATTATTTATTAATAATAGATTAGTATTTAACAATTGTAAAATTTAAAAGAAAAACAGAGCAGAAAAAAGAAGTAGAAAATTATACAAAACAGTGGGAATATATGGAACAGAGTACATTGCATTACAGATAATTATTATTATATATATATATATATATACAATATTGTCAATTTCTGTTATAATTTATTTACCTGTTTTGTTAACACGTGTAATTAATTAAATCTGTCATCGTTATAGGCGGGTATTGGGGGAAGTTTTAAGCTCCCCTCCCAAAAAAAAAAAAAAAACGTTACCAAGCCACACCAGACGTCAAAATAAATTGTATATTTTAATATTTATAATTTTTATTTTTATTTTGGGATGCAAGAATATTCTATAACTTGTATAGGTACCGTACCTATATAAGCTAGCTGCAAACCGCTAAAACTTAAACTTTTTAAACGAATACTTATCGTTTTAAATGAGGTTTGATATAATAACTTTCATATATGATTGATTACCTTATAACTGTGACGAGTAAGACCATTAGTTATCAATGTGTTTGTCTTTTCAATGGTGAACAGGTATTTCACGTCTAATGCCCAATTCTTTTTTATGTAGTCAGAAATTTTCGGTATAGCTGAAAAACCGTCTGCCAGTCCGTTTTCGTCGAGCCACTCTAATTTGGAGAGCAACAAATGATCGGAATCGGATGTTTGTATCAACTTGTCCATGCATTCGTGTATGTAATTTTTTTTATTCGTCACTTCGTTTCCTTCAACTTCGTCTATAATCCTTGCGTTATACCCTAATCTATAATGAAAAATTGAAATTATATTTGGTAAATTAAAAATTTTGATTTTACAATGATGTTAACCGCACATACCAAACATACTTAACTACTAACTCCCTTTAAGATGATTCTCATAAAGGTCGGTATTTACTTCCACAAAAACCACTTCCGGCTGAACCCAATGAAAATCCAAATAATTAATATATTCCTTCCATTTGAGGAAACAAAAAGTATAGAATATCACAAATTAAACGTAAAGTAGAATGAAATAGAACTCGAAAATATCCAACATGTAAAAATATCTGGGATTAAATCTGGAAAGTTTCCGAACATATCGATTTCATTTTGAAATTTTAAAGAGAAAAATAACTACACGAAACGGGCTATTACGTAAACGTAAACTTACAGGGAGCAGTTGAGGAGCGCTGTCACATAATTTGAGAAGTACAACCTATGCCCATCAACAGGCGACTACGAAACACCAGAAATCGTTCCATAAAAACAAAAAATGAAAATCGAATTAAGAAACGTTTCTACAGCTCCCCCCCTGGATTTTTGTTTTGATATAGCGTCTAATGTATAAACTAAAGGCGTGCAAATTGCGGTGATAGGCATACAAACTCATGTTAATTATATGCTACGTATTAGCACGAAAAATAAAATTGAAATTTTCGGATGGAGGGGGGCTAGTGAAATATATATATATATATTGTTTTTTGTATTTTTATATTGTAAGCTTTTGTGTATAACTAAATGGGTCCTTCAAGTTCAGCACCCCGCGGTATTTCCCCGTCTTACTACTCAATAATTAAGTACGTCAGTAAACGCTCAGCGCAGGATTAATATCTTTGACGAGAATTGAATATAAAATTATACATAATATATATCTAATACCTATTTATCAACAAATTATGCATAATGATAAGTTTATAAATTGTATATTTTATATTATACAAGTTTAATCTTAATATTTGAGATGTGTATAAATCCGGACAGTAATGCTACGCGTCATAAGTTAAGGTTTTGAGTTAGCACATATTTACTACTGCATAAAAATAATGATACATAATATATTGAATTTATTTAATACCTAATTGGTTTTAAGGTTTTAGGATTCTGTACCAACGATTCGGAAACCTCGATCACTGTATTGACTAAATTGTCCGCTGTTTTTCTTATCAGATGTAAATAATTTTCGCTCAGTCCTCGAGGTGATTTGTATACGGTGTCTTTAAGGTGTTGGCGAGCGCTTGACGAACGTATGTTGGTTTGTGTCTCGTCTTGCTGTACGAAATTTTTCCACAGTATAAAAGTCCTACTAGAATTGGTATCATATTTGTCATCGTCTGATGATAATAATGATTCCATAATAATTGCTCAGTATTTAATATGGTTAGAGAATTTCCTAATTGAATTTCTAAAAAAAAAAAACCAAAAAAAAAATTAATATTTCTTCGGCTTATCGGCGCAATCGCTTCGGTGATAAATATTTTCGGTGGTAAAGGTAAAAATACATAGGATTACGGTAACATTATTTTTTGAACAAATTAATAGTTATGCAACTTAAAATAAAATATTTATAACATAAAAATTAAAAGTTTACTAATTTGTACAAAAAAAACTTAATAACAAAAAATAAATAAAAACGGTTGCTAATATTTTTAATTTTTCAATCTTTTTTAACCAAAAGAACCAGGTTTCCTCATTATCTTAAATACTCATATTAATGAGAATTTCAAAAAATTACCTCTTTAAAGTACCTCCCAAAGAACATTTACTTTCGGAAAAGGTGCTATACTTGATAATCGGAGTAAATTTTCTGGTATAAAAAGTGTTCACATAAAAAAAAAAATAAACATCATTGTAAAACCAATACATTCCTCGCTCAACTCAGAATCTAAAATATTTAACTAATTAATTTGTTGAAAAAATGTTTAAGCTTGTTAAACGTTAATAATTTTTTTAATGGAAATCTGACTGGGGAGGTATTTTAGAGAAGTCTTTTTTTGATTTTCCTAGAAGTTTTCCCAATAAATAGAAAAATTTGGGAAAATATACGAAATGTATATAGGTATTAGTAAAAAAATATTAAGGCCTTTTTTTCCTGTGAATAACTTTTCTATCAGTAATTTTTCTTTGATTTACAATGATAGCACTTTTACTGAAAGCAAATCTGACTGGGGTAGTGCTTTTTTAATATTATAAGATTTATATAGATTATAGATTTATGTTGCACTTAAAATGTATTCAAACTATTTAATTACCTCTTTTTCTAATATTGTGTAGAAAAATAGGTTTACCGTTTACATAAATTATTGTTTCTATAATTTTTCAATGTCTTTACGAATTTCTTAACGGCGTACATAGTTTTATTTTTTTTTTGAAATAAATCTAAGTACCTATATTATTAATTAAAATTTTAGAATATCTTTTTAACTTGTCAACACCCCCCTCCATAGATCAGTCACTATATTTACGTTATTATATTAGTTATAAAAATTAACATAAGTTTATAGACATAGGCGTAAATAAAGAGGGGCTAGTGGTACTTTGTCTCCTCCCAACTCAGTCAAGTCTACCCGAATCAAATCCTTATCAATTAAACACTAAGTATACACGATAAATATTATGGGAGTTTAAGTCTTCCCTCAGTATATTTGAACGTTCCTATATATTCTAAAGAAATAATTAGAAATAACGCTTCGAATTCGTTATGCGAAATAAAAAAATATATTATCCACGCGCGAGTTCAGAGACCGACGTTGAGAACGTAAAAATAAAAATATTAACATTTAAGAATTATAAGACGGATTATACGTGTGTGAGTTCAGCGATAAGTGACCACATATAGTATTATCCCGTATTAAAAGAGTTTCAATCATTTAACACGTATAGAAAAATGAAAAAAAAAAATGACTACGTTTGTTTGAAATCAGTGGCGCAACGAGACGTTTTGGTGTCTTATTGTGTCAGATAACCGTAATTGTTATTTTGTTCACACACGGTTACATTATATGATCCATTAGTAAAGAAAAAAAATCGATTTATACAATATATCTTCCACACTTGATATAATAATAATAATAATATTCCACCATTTATTTGAAAAATTGTGATAAATCATGAAAATTAAAATAAAAAAATAGAATATAAAATAATAGTTTATCATATAGCCTCAATAGAACCGAATAAGTTGAGATTTTCCATAATTCCAGACCAAAAGGTCTGAAGTCAATTTTTAGAATTTTTTTTTGTGCGTTTCCCTTTATTTTTGATTTAAATTATGTATTTTCAAAATTGAATTTGCTTGTATTGAAAATTATACGAAATTTATTCGTCCCTTAATAAATATAAAACATATTTCATGTAGAGAGAGGACTGCAGTCTGTAATTATTTGAATATATATAAGATATATAAGTATAATGCAGTTAGTACAAAATGCACTACTTATATATGCCTGCAACATAACATAATATTATAATGCATTTTGAAACAGGAATACAGGAATTAAAAAAAATTCGAACAGATATATTTATTTTTTGTAATCGAAAACCACTAAGTAGTACCATCATATTACCATCCCTATGGTAAGTACTTTATTATTTAATCAAATATACCTTATACCTAAATAATAGGTAAATAATAGTCATTAAAATGTCGCAAACTAATCAACAACCAAATTATTTTTTTTATCTCCTAGATTGTGTTGGGTCCTTGGACTTTTCATACAAAAACAATCGTGTTCAAAAGGAAAACTCTAGGTATTGTGAAATTTGACTTCTAAAAGAAAAGAAAGAAACGATTTTACGTTTTTAGTTATCAAATGTATCGTTTGAACCAGAACAGCTGGTTAAGATTTAGCTTTACATTCTTTTCTAAATTTCTATAATTATTTTTGAGTTTTTTTTGTATTAAAATGTTTCAATAAAAAATATTTAATACACACATATTCAAATATTTTATTAAAAATACATTTATTCCAAATCATTTAAAATGTTTATGATTATAAAAAAAAAGATCCGAAATTGTTGATGATAGCGCCACTGTTGCTTGTGAGAACAGAAAGATAGGATACATAAAGATATTTAATTTAAATCTTAATATTATTGTAAAAAATCATGTAAGCAACGATAAACTATTACTACTGAAAACGATTCTGAGGGAAGTTTGATTGTATATGTTTTGAAATGCTTTAATACGAGTATCTATAAGATTTTCATCAAAATTATGATCTTCAAACGTTTATATATATGCATAAAAAACCTACTACATTACGGTCAATTTTTTTTTTCTACCATCAAGTTAAAACTAATAATGAACCTCGTTTTCAATTTCCAAGCATTTCTGTTTAGTTAAACAATTTAAATCACATAATAGCTATACAAAAGAAAAATGATGTAAAAAACTAGACAATATAAAATTGCTTATAAATAGCTCAAAGATATTTTTAAAATATTTTGAAAATGTGTCTATGTCTAGAAATATAAGTTTTTTGTCAAAATTTACAGTTTGTACAAATATTTTTAACTGAATTACGACGGGAAAACAAAATTCAAAATGATGAAAATTATTATTAGATATTACCATTATTATTATTTCCCTGAACTTTTCTTGTCTTTCTACATTTTTTTATCCAGTTTTATACAACTATTAGAAAAATAACACGGAAAATTAAAAAAACAACTCACTTAACCATCAACTAGATTACAATACAACATAAAAACGTGATCATTTGATTGAAGCAATATTTCTGGTTGAAAATATAATTGGTACAAATTAAAAATAATGAATCCGATTATGCTACGGCACGCCGTAAATATTTGTCCGCTTTTCCAAGTTTTCTCAATTATGATTAACTCCTAGGGAAGTCGAAAAATGGCCTGATAAATGCATCAACTAGATGATCCAAAATTCAGTAAAATGGGTCCTCTTGTCATGTTTTAATCGGAGTAAGATTGCAGGTAGAAAAATTGCTCATAGGAATAAAATAAAAAAAACCGCATATCTTATTAAAACCTATACATCTCTCACTATACTTAGAATCTAAATACATATTTACTAATTGAAATACAATTGTAACTAAAATATCTAATGTATGAACGACTACAGCCCATTTTGCGACCGTATAAACGTATATAGGTATAATTAATGAATATCATAACATAAAACGTTATGATATTTCATACTTACCTACATTTTACACCATATACTGCAGTGGTTCAAAGGGAACGATAAATTGATTATGATTTACTCGTATTTTATTTTTATAATAAACTAATATAGACGCAGAGAGAGAAAAAAAAATGATAATCACGATTGTCATTGGTGAAAAATGAGATATTCAGAGATCCACGGAAGACCATAATACGATCGTCGACATGATAAAATAAACAGCTGTACATGCCATTAGAATGGTGTGTAAAGATACTGATATAGGATACTGGCGCCAAGATTCTAGAGCTTATCTAAAATCATGACAGAAAATGTATTTATTTTAATTTTTTTTTTATGTCAAACATAATATTAAAACAGCTGAGGTTTCTCGAATATTATATAATGTATACCGAAAAACACTAATTGCATACAAATCGAATAGTTGTTATTATTTATTTATAATTTAAAACATACAAATTGAGTAAAAAAAAAATTCCAAATATAAAAAAAAATATTTAAATTTCAGTGTAGTAGTCTCGTCTGACATTAATAAGGATGCTCTACCAAAATTATTTTTATCGATTGTTTTGGATAATGAAATAAATGTGTTTTCAATTTTCCAAGATCTAATCCACTCATTCATCTAACGCCACTCGTCACATTTTTACGCTTTTTAACAATTTCTACATGATCAAGAACTTTTTATGTGTTCTGCAACGGCCGACTCCGTGATTTGTTTACGTATGTACTTGCTTTTATACATTGTTCTTAGTCACCGTCAAAATCATGTAACCATATATGACGTGAATGAAATACAATTTGCATGATTGTATCCGTTTTTGTTTTTAAATTTACAGGAGTTTAAGTAAAAAAAAAATAACTATTGACTCTTCCATATCCGCTGTTGTTTCTTTTTTTATTCGATAACTTCTATTTTGGTAATTCCTTTAAAAGAATCTTCAGTGGAATTTTGTTTGTTGCCGTCTGTTTTTTCGACGAGTAGACCATTCGTTTTTTGTTTGTCAACAGTCCGAAAGTAATTTTTATTTTATTTTTTTTTTTTATTTTGGCCTAACGATAAATCGTCGAATTTGCATATTATTATAATTTCACTGGAATGTTTATTTTTATAAACTCCAATAACCTTATCCGATATATTTTTAACATCGTTGACATTTTGTTTCGTCAATTTGGCGTTCTCGAATGATTCCTC